CGATTATAAAAATGTTCTGTGATTTCTATGACTCCGGTGCTTTACTGTGGGTAAAATATAGATCTTATGCAAACGATTTGATCCAAAATTAAATTAACTACCACTTGCTGGCAGTTTGGGGATCTGATTCAAAGCTGGATTGGCACTGACAGGTCAGAGATCAGGCTGGAGCCCAGCAAAGAGCAGTCATCTCATGCTGTGATGCTTTTAATGTTTCAGGATTGATTTTGTTCAGATTCTGTAAGAAAACAAAACACAAGTTTCTCTGTGAAAGGGAAAGCCTCTTCAGCTCCAGCTGCCAGCCTCTAGCTCCAGAACTCGGAAATCTGGGGAACCGGTGAACACAGCGGGCTGTTGGCCCTGTGGCCGGGGCGACCCATGTGGTGCAGCTGGGACAGAGTCACATCCTGGGAGTCTCTGCAGTGCGCAGCTGAGATTCACACGCTTGCAAGGAGCAGCTTGGGAGCAGCTGAGATTGGCAGCATCAGCATGCTGCTGCCAGGCTCCCAGGCAGGGCCTGTCAGTCCTACTTTGGGATATGGATCCTGAAATAAAATGCTTGGGAGTGAGGTGGAAATCAGCTTCTGAAATCTTGCTGTGTCCCCTGAACCTTCAAATCCTAAGTTACAGCCACTTCATTCAGAAAGGTGGAGAACAACAGGAGTTAGAGGTTTCTGTCACAAAGCCTAGTAACTGTATATTTAGCTCACAAAAGATTGTTGCTTTTTCAGGTCTCTGAAGATTTAGAAACTTCACGTTGTCTCCACCTGGAGAGGCTGAAAAAACATGTGAATGTGTGAGTGCAAATGCAGGGGAAATAGTTGTATCCGAGCTAAAGCACATGTGGAGCTCCCTTACTTTGCGCACACAGCACTGACCTCCAAGAGCCCAGAAACACGGGAGTCCCTTCCTGGCCACATCCCAAGCTGCAGGGACACTTGCAGCCTTGGTCGGTCCCGGCTCTGAGGGCAGCACGTCAACCTGTTCGGGTATCTCCTACCCATGATGGCCGCCTACCCGGAGGCACAGCGCCAACAGAGAGCAACGTGCGCGCTAAGCAGCTTGTGAGCTGAAGGAAAATGAGCTTGCGTCAGGCAGCAGGAGTTGTGTCACTGATGTGTAATTTCTGCTCTTTTCGTGTGCAGCAGAGATGCGGGAATGCAGGGCTGCAGCGGTCCTACGTTGCCCAAGTTGGCCGCTGAGCCCCTCTGCTCTGCCCCAGGTGTTCGGCTGCTGAAGAGGGGGTCTTGTGTGTTGGGAAGAGTGGACTGACCTTCCTATTCTAAGGCCAGCATATACAGACTTCGGTAAGCAGGATTTTTACAGAAAAGCAATTGACTTGCCTTTCTTTTAGAAGCAAGAAATATTCTCTTTCTTCCTTCAGTCTGAGAGCATCATTTCTTCTTTGCATTTAACATGATTATGCCCAAATACTCCAGGGTGCAGGATACTCCAAACAGCAAAAACGCAAATATTTTTTCAATTTACTCCCAATACTGCCTAAATGCAGTGAAATCTACTTTAAATTCTCTGTAAAATGTAATACAAACTTGAGCAGATGTCATTTTCTGTCCTTTTCAGGTGTACCTAATTTTTAAAGGATTAGACACATCGGAACAGTTAAATTGGCTGACTTTTGGCAAATTATCAACAAGTTGCGTGACCCATCTCCATCTACTGTGTTCCCCCGCTGCTGTGCAGGAAAGAGCAGAGTCTCTGCATGAGGAATTTCTGGCTTAAATAATCAAAATCGATGTTTTGTACCTGGCCTTTAAAAAATTTGACTCCTTGTATCTTTTTTTTTCTGAGGGCACCTGCCTTTGTCTCATCGTATCCGTCTCCAGATCTTGCATTCTACAGTTGCGCAAGGTTTCCTTCTCTTGACAGTAAGGAAAATCATGCCACTGTGGTTTGATACAAAATATGTGTTGCAGGTATCCCCCCATGTGTCTGCACATGGAGAATATCAGTGGTGTTATATGCTGCAAATGCAGAGTATTGTCTTCAGCTTTCTCTGGAGCCATTAATGCTCTTGGGTTTTCTGGTCCTCTGGTTCAAGGCTGTATTTAAGAAAACTAGAATTGTGTAGCTTTTGAGACCAAGTTAATAAGAATAGCCAGTGAAGTCACCTCTGAGACAAGTCCTCTTTAATCTTCTTCCAAATAATCCATTCCCTTTCTTTAAAGATTATTTTCAAAATTGCTTAATCTTTCCTGTGGTATAATACTGAAGTGTGACTTTAAAAAAAAAAAAAAAAGCCATTCAAAAAGTTCAGAAAGCAATACCGCATTTTATTACACACTATTACACATTAGAAAAATTTTGTTTTAGAATAGTGATTTGAGACCATTTTTTATTTAAAACAGAGGGAAGACTCAATTTCTTGCTATATAAAACTGTCTAAATCTCTTAATGCACTGAATATTCTCTGAGACTTTTCAATGTCCCAGCTGAGGAAAATGACAAAGCCAGTTGTAGGAATCCGTCAGCTATTCCATCTCCACAGAGGAATTGCTAGGATTTGCTCTTGCTTTTTACAGTCTTTTGAGATTCAGTCCCTGAAGTCTTGTATTTGGCCATTCATTGCAGAGGTATTCAAACAGTCTGCTTAATCTCGGGGGGGAGGGGGGGGAAGTAGTGTGTGGGGGAACAAACTCCAAACACCAAACTTCAGAGAGCAGGCATGAATTTGTAGAGATTTAGAAACAAAGTGTTGCATCCTAGAGGAGTAGGTTAATTCTAGATGTGGTACCATAGACAGCCCATGGCTTCAAATTCTGTGGCTTAATGGAAAGCAAACAGGATTTCAGCCAAACCAGCCATCAACAAACCACCGCAGTGACAGTGAATGAGAAAACCTCAAAGACAGAGAAGTTAACAGTAAGGGAAGACTTTAATTACCCCTGTGTAGACTGGAGAGTGCTGGAGCAGGGCACAGTACAGCCTTTTATAGCACCATAAGCACTACTTAGAGCAAGCAGCCAGCACGGCTGCTAGAGAAGTCTCTTGGTTAGTCCTGAGAGCCGCACATGATCTGGCGTGCGATGTAACTACTGAAAAGCCTCTTAGTGCCTGTAATATGCTCAAGTAGGAATGAGAGCGCTGAAAAAAAACCCCTACATTCAGTATAATAACTTCTAACTAAGAAAAATAATTCTGTAAATATAAGAAAGAAAGGTAAGAGCAAAAAAACTGGTAGGATGCTTTCAAGAAGCTTGGATGTTACCTAAATACTTCATAGCAGAGGTTCAGAGTCAACCTGTATGATCAATCAGAAAAAACTTCGAAAACATTTCCTCCTCTTTCTTGGATAATGTATTAATGAACATTTTCCCCATCGTTTTCATCAAAACATCGTGGTTCTGGGACATTTCCTTTTACCTGACCACATTCCAACCTAGACATTATTCGCTGCTGTTAAATATTGATCACTGGTACTTATGGATCGGTGCTGATCCTTTCTCATCATGACTGGTACTAATTATCTGTGTGGATCTGGACCAGTTCCCTCCTCTGAATGACTCCAGTGTCTCCTGGAGAGGTCTGAATATTGCTCAGACACTCGGAGGTTTCTGCGGTACCTAGAACAGGCTGGTCCAAAGCCCCAGATCCAGACATGTCCCAACTTGGGAGCATTCTGAGTCAAAACCTAGATCTGAATTTCATTGCTTCTGCCCCCATCCCCTGCTATTACTGGCCCTGGGAGCTGGAGGGTCCTGCAGCCGCTCCTTGCTTGCTGCTCGTGTAGGCAGAGGTGGTCACAGGCTAACCTGGACCGCAGGCGCAGATGCTGTGGGCATATTGTGGAGACCCCCGCTCCAGCGGCTGGGGAGAGGGTGTGCTGTGCTGGCCAGAGCAAGGAGTTTAACGCTTCCTGAGCTCACCCACGGCCGTCTGTGCTTGCACTCGTGTAAACACAGGACTGGGTTCTGCCATGAGCAGGTAATGGCAATGTGAGTTGATGGGGCATAGCTGTGAAAATACATCACGTTCTGCTTAGGATTGCACTGGTATTGAAGCAGAACTTCTCCACAAAGCTGAACAAGTTCTGGATTTACGTGTGATTTTGCACTTTGGTCAGGGAAGGGATGCACAATCTCATCTGCCATCTCGGTGTCAACCCAGGGTAATGGCACTAGAGGTGGGGAAAAACCTCTGAATCAACAGCGGGCAAGTGACCTCGGTGCCCAGAAAATCAGTAGAAAGATAGATGATCACCTTGTTCTGAAGAGTCCTTGAGCCTCTAAGAGACACAAGCAGCCTTTAGGAGCCGAACCTTTCCAGACGGGCCCTCCACGCGGTGAAGAAAGCACTGCCTGTGCTGGGGGTGCAGCACATTTGAGCTCTTTGCAAAGGTAAGGGCAAAGGACTATTTGTGTTTTGTTTTCTTTTTTTTTTTACCTTGGTAAAGATGACTGCAGAAGTCAGATAGACACTGACAGGGAAACTGTGATAGCTTAAGCCTAAAAACTTCATAGGGTTTTGCTAAAACAGGAGAGCCTGTTGGTGTTCATGTATGGATACACTATAATTCTGCAGGTAATCGAAATCAAAGCAGGCTGAGGTAAGGTAAGTAAGCAAAGCTGCTGAGCGGAATAACCAGGCTCCTGAGCTTAACGCAAGGAGGAGATCCACGCTTTTACAGGTGTGCCTGACTCCAGAGCTGGCAACTTGGGGTGCAAGACAATCCAGACGCTAGAAGGCACGCGGCTGGGTCCACGTGTACCAGCTTTCTTACTGTCTGCTGCTCCTGCTGCTGGAAAGAACGCGTGGACAGCTGTCGTCAGCGTTGTACCGGAGCAAAGCTCAAAGGGACGATGCCAGCTTGGCTGTTGTTTTTTTTTTTTTAAATCACTCAGCAGCACTGAAGCCCGATGCCTCTGGTAGCCGGTGGTGGAGCAGTGAGAAGCTGGTTTTGTTGCTGCGCTTTTACGGGAGAAGCTTGACTGCGTTAACTCTTGCAAAAACCAGCACCGAGAAAACTCGAGCAAAACCCGGTGATGGAGATCAGCTCCACAGAAGCCAGCGGCAGCTCCCAGGGAGGCACTGGCTGGCTGGGTCTGACCCTTGTCACCTGCACTGAAACAGTGACTTTCACTGAAGTGGTGGCAGAAGAGGAGTGGGGATCCTTTTACCATTCCTTTAAGGTACTCTTTTAAGGTGTGCGTTACTTTTCTTACATACTTGCAGCTTTAGTGCATTTTCAGCACCTCTGCGGGGAGGCAGCTAGGATTATTGAACATTTTTGACCAGATATTGGTGGGTTTTTTTGCCCTGCAAAGACAGCGGAGAGCATGTGTGAGGCATTTACTGAAAAACAAAATAGTTGTAGGAGCTGGAGTTCAGACTTACAGGTCTTAGCCAGTTATATCCCCTTCCAAGGGACAATGGTACTGTTTTTACATAGAGGTATTGTAATTATATATGCATCTTTAATCAAAAGCTTGTATTAGTTTAACATCCTTTCTGTAACTTCTTATAGGCATCACCTTGACATAAGGGATTTCTTTTCAATTTTCCAGCTGCGACAAACATTGTACGCAAGTGAGAGGGGATTCAGTTGGGTTTCTGTGGGTTTTTTTAGTCACGAGGGACAGGTTCTAATTAGTTGGGTTTGTTTGTTTTTAACTTGAGCAGGGTTGCAGTGTCATTGAAGTGTGATGGATCACTCAGTAGAGAATGCTGTTCAGTGAGATGGGGAGCATATTCATTCATCTTCAAAACCAAACATCACCCTTGCAATATGTGAATGTAGGAAAAAGATGAAAGAGATACTGAAATTCACCTTTCCTTCAGATTTCTCTGCTTGTTGTTGTTGCTTGATCTCGTGCTGCCTGTCATGTGTCACTTCACTGTTATGGCAGAGTGTACAAGTTAAGTTCAAGTTGTTAAAAGTCTGACAAGGAGTAAGCTGCCGTTCCTTCTGGAGCTGGGGACCAAAGAGACCACTTTCACCTGGAAAGCTATAGATACTTACAACATTTGACAAATATGTTGGGTGAAAGGGGATATGCTCAGAGTCAATTTTGATTTCTGTGAGATTGTTAGTGTTCTGACACAATGCCAGTGGAATCAGCGGAATTACTACAGGTTTCCACCTCTCTTAAGGAAAAAGTTGATCTGTAGTTTTAAAATCAATTAATGAGGGTTTCTTTTAATATGCTGCTGATACTTTTCTTTTTTCAGTGATAAGACAGTACTTTCTTATCTAGAATTTTAAGGATGAAAATTTTTTTTGCTCTTTTTTTTCTCTCCACATTAGAGTCCTAAAATGCTCCTGAAAAAAATCAGAAGCAACAAGCAAAATATTTTTAACAACTTTCTCTTTGTCTCCTTTGTTCTTTCCAGAGATGGGGTTGTAAATCTTAACAAAGTAATGGGAGCACTACTTTATAATGCAAAAAGTGACAACTAATTCCGTGGTTAAGCAGTCCCCAGGCAGAAAACTGCTGCTTAACAGGGAAGACTGAGTAAATCACAACGATTAGGAAACCATGGATAGTCATGCATGCTTGTCCATTGCTAAAGGAAACTTGATTCTGTTAGCCGAGAGCTTCTCATTAGCCTTGCACTCCTCTGTTGGATGTCTAGCTCTGGCATATATAGCATGAACTTTGCAAGGAGGTTCACTGATTTCACATCGATTACTAGCTGTTGATAGGCATGGAAATATTTTGACTCTGGAGACAAGTGACAGCTGGTGCTGCTGCAGGAAAGGAGGGATAAAGCACCTGCTCTGACGACTACGGTGCAGGGAAGACAGGGGTCCCTGCCAGCAATTTGAGACCTCTGTGACATATCGCACGTGGAAGGTGCTGCTGATACCTGCTGACTCGGTTGGCTGTCCTCCACCAGTGCTGCCCACGCTGTGGCCGTGTCCTTACCCCTTCCAGCAAGCTGAATAGCATCTCCTTCCCCTTCACAAGGGTCTGGTTAAGCAGTTAAAAAAATAAGACGTTCAGCTTGGAACAGGCTGAGCTGATTAAAAAACAGAACTCAGTGCTCAAAATGTAGCTACAAAGAGGGTTTTGGCCTTTTATTGGGATTTTCAAACACATGGTTGACAATAAAGGCAGGCTGGATGAAGAGCCACCTCACAGGTTGACTCCAGAGCCTGCGGGCTGGGACGCCAAAGTCCAGCACGGGGCACACAGCTATTTCTGCTCGGGAAATGCAGGTGTAACCTATCGTACCAGAGCAGCCACAGGAAAACATGATCTAAGCCGATAAATGGAGATGAGGGAGTGACACTCACCCAGTACCTGGAGCAGTTCCTCTGTTAAGGACTTTTTAACGATTTTACCCAATAACAGCTACGTAGGGTAGCTTAACAACTAAACCCTGCACCGCTTCAGATTAGAAAGTATTTCACCCGCTCAACTAGATTTCTTCTTTTTTTGTGTTGGCTGGGAAATGGAGCATTTCACTTGGAGGAATGCACATTTCCCTCTGGTAGTCATTACTGCAGCTCCTTGGCCAGCTGCTCACCAAGGCTTTGCCCATGAAGTCTGCTTTGGGGCCATGGTCATGTGTGCTAATTAGGCTGGCTCTTGGGGCACAGAGTTGCAGTCTTTGGGGCAGGATTGGGTGCCCCACGCACCACACAGCAAGAGAAGCGGGTGCTTCCCACGGCAAAGGCACTGGCTCATCCCTACTTATGTTCAGGTCTTGTTGCTGTGTTACGGCAAGCAGTCCTTGAAAGCCCAGACCATATTTCTTCCGAAGATAACTTTCCCAGGTGCCTTTACATGAGGTATCCAGGTGTGTTACTGTCTTAAACCACAAGCATCAGAAGTCCTGTTAGCTGTGTCAGCACCAAATTCAGAACAGACGTGCAAATTGGTATTAATTACTGCTCCAACCTCCCAGGCCAAAGTCCATTACATCCCTTTACAATCTCCCCCATATATATTCAAACTCTGTATAAAAGGGCTCTAAGCGAGCGTCAACTGCCCTCTGCCAAATACAGTAATCTGAAAAAAAGGGAGATTATCTGAGCACCTGTGTCTTTCCTCCACTTTAGGACCTCTTTAATTCTGCATACCTGACTAGGTGCAAACCAGAAACCTAACTGGAGAGCCTGTGGAAAAGCTGAAACCCCAGAATAGGGTTGCCCCAGTTGTCCACAGGGTTGGGAGTCTTCATCAAGGCTGGAGGAAGCACGGTCCCGTTGCCAGGCCTTCAACAGCACTGAAGCTTCCCTGAGAGTAGGAGCGTGTACTTGTTCTGAGAAGAGGATCCAGTAGAGCTCATCTCTTTTATAAGAGGTCTGGTAAGAAATGGGATGCCCTACTGTTATGCAATAGAGTAAAGGTTGGAGTGCTCGAAAGGAGAAAAGTCCCATCCATTGTTCCTTTCTTGATGGAACTGTGTTTCTGCCATCATCTCCTACCTCCCAGGAGAGTGGGCTGACTTGCATGATCTAGCATATTTTCTTATTTTGTTTTCTGATGCCTAGAGTTGAGCCCTCACCCACGCAGCAGGACAGAAAGGTTTTCTTGTTTTCACACAAGGTTGTTTGAGAACCCTGATTCCTTCCATGCTAGGTGGGAACCCCAGCTACTGGTCCACAGCTTGATATCCCCCTGCCTCTGGCCCAATGAGTCCTGATCCCTGTGCCATGCAGCATCGTCACAGCGGTGATGATGCTGAAGCATTAGAGCTCTCAGGAGAAGCAATGTGTACATTGACTCCACCACAAATGATTTTACACATATAATCTAAATTCCCAGTTTGTTTGAGGAAAGACTGTTTGACCCTCTGCTTGTGATTGTCCTCCACCCCCTCTGTAGCATTCCCCATACCTGCATGTTTTAGCCCACGTAGCTCAGATACTAAACAGGACTGCATAGCCATGCCAGAGCATGTGCCGCTTATCCATGGAGCCTAATGCTCTTTACACAGGTCAGGGCTTACCATATCCAGCAAAGAGCTGAGAAGACCAGCATGTGGAGAGAAGGTTTGCATAGACTTGTTCTGTAGGACTCTCAGGTAACAAGAATTTGGCTCCAGGTGTCCTCAGAGCCTGTTTAAGTCAGAATCTGTTGTCCCTGTCAATCCAAATGCAGGAGTCTCTTTGCCTCCTGGAAAGCATTTGACTATGTTATTGCTCATTCTGATTTTCAAGCAAACCTCACAGAGCATCCCATCACTGAATACATAATAGAAAAATAATAATGGGTGCTGTCAGATTTCTGGAGTAATCTCTGCAAATACAATCATGCATTTTAGAAAAATAGGCATATCAAATAATTCCTAAGTAACTTTGCAGTCTTTCAGTGGAGGGAAGGGAGGAGAATTAAGTCTACACAAATACAGTGTCAGGAACTCCTGAACGCAGCCTCTGCAATATGCCGTAATGAGTGTTGCTATTCCCGAGATGCTGCACTGAGAATGTAATAGATGATCTCCTTGTGAAACAAATCTGCAGTGCTGTTGGCCAGGCTGGCTTCATCTAGTAGCTTAAATGCAACACATAAGCAATCTGGCTGTATGACCGGCCAGCTGGGGCATGTAGCCCTGAGCGAACTGATTTGAGTGGTTTTATACTAGCAACCCTCATACTTTTGACTCCATGGTCCACACAGCCACAGGGTTTGTGTCTGTCTGCCTCTCCTATATAAACATGCCTAGAAAGTATTAATTTATCCATTTTTTTGAGGTGGTTTAATTGTACAGATTGGGCATACTTAATCATTTTACCCCCTTTTTTAAAAAGCATTTCACAGTTTTTAATAGGGCTATCAAAATTGTACAATTATGGATGGACCACTGAGTGACCTTCATATTATCTTTTCATGTTGAAAATGTTCTAGGAAAAAATAGATAGGTACATCATGAAAAATGTATCTTTCCTGATGACATTAAAATCATGGATGTCTGTCTGTCTACTTCTGTGGAAGTTTCCTAGGGTGCAATGGGTAAAAAAATCCTGCAATAACTGAACTGTACCATCCCCATTTATTAGCCATCTTGTACCAAAACATATCAGAATGGCAAACGCGAACTATCTGCTAGTAAAATTGAATTACTACCATTTGTTATTGACTGAAAATCTTCCCCTCTAAGCCAGCCATACCTGTGGAAGATTTTGGTGCAGGAAGGGTGGAGGTTTGTTTAACTGTTATTTGAGCTTGGAGAAATCGCA